TTTGAGGCAATCCACAAAACGTTTTATTAAATACTCAACGCTGCCGAAGTAGTAGCATTTACTAATCATAATTACTACAAACAAATAATTAATACAGAAATTTACCACAACAAACAACCAAACGACAATGATGGGTAAACAAAATGTACACGACTAAACCCCTTTCGTGGGAGAGAATGTGGGGAGAGCAAGTAAATGAACACGCAACGCGCAGACAAATTAAGCAAATTGAAAATTAACATAAGACTCAAGCACTGCAAGGATCATAGAATACCATCACATCGAAAAAATGAACGCATAAATTAAATAAATAAAATCAAACAATAAAGAAAAAATAAAGGGAAATTAGTGGGGGTGAGGTGTTGGAAATTACGTGAATTAATTGAATACGCGATGATATAAAGGAAGAGCGCAAGTTTTGTTTTTTGTTTTTTTTGGGCAGCTTGCTATAGGTGAAACAATTAATATAAGCCAAAGGAATTATTGTCTCATTTGAACACAAACACTTGGACATAAGCAGCACTTGATCAAAGCAATCAGTGAGCGAGTGCTGCTAAAATGGTGTCAAATCCTTCATAAACTCATAGATAATTTTATTTTTTTTGTCAGCCCCCTTCCGCGAAGTACACGAAATCACTTTCGTATACGTTTAATTGTTTAATATCGTGACACAAATCGTGGTAAAACTCCTACCAATGCGGATTGTTTGTACCATATCCTGGGCATGGTGGTTGAGAGTGTGATCAAGAGAGGGGTATAAAGAGGGAGACCCCACATTAAATATTGGCATACTGGCAAGTAATTGCAGTAGAAAAGCAGAAAGATTATTACGAAATTGATGCCTTTTAGCCAAATTAAATGAGAATTCATAGCCACAGAGTATAAATACAATAAATACGCAATAGGTATTTAAGTTGGCATAGGGACACAAGGGTTAGCGGTGGGTATCTATGCACATTAGGGTGGTTTAAAATTGTATGTGAAAAACTAAAGTCGGAAGTTTTATACTCTCACTCCCTAGGATTGCTCTATACCGGAAAAAATATACCCCTCCATTTTATTTTAAAATCCAAAAATTTTTAGAGTTCGCTCAAACCGCTCAAAGTTTTCCATGTATTTTATATGGGAAAAAATAACTTTTCTTAGAAATTTCTTAGAATAGGAGAATGCCAGCAATAATACCCAATTTTTTTATTTCACCATTTTTTCAAGGTAAATATATTTTATAGGTACGCCAAAAACCCCAGAAAATGCATTGGGGGGACCACTAAAATATCTTTAGCAGTAAAAAATGGTTAAATAAATAATTGGGTATTATTATTGGAAGTCTCCTCAAAAGAACAAGATTTTTCCGATCGAAAAATATTGATTTTGAAGAATTCTATACCATTTCTGCGGAAAGTGTTTTTCCCATATAAAATACATGGAAAACTTGGAGCGCTTTAAGCGAACTTTAATAATTTTTTTATTAAAAAAGAAAAAAAAAAAAATAAGGACATATTTTTCGATCTTTGAGCGAACTTTAATAATTTTTTGATTTAAAAAAAAAGGGCATATTTTTCGAAATAGAACAATCCTAGGGGGTGAGAGCATTACGACTTTACTTTTTCTGACCACCGTAATGTACATACATACGTCGCAGCAAGCACTTCAACTGAGTGTCACTATGCGTGTTAATTGGTCAATATTTTTTTTTTTTGGTTTTTATGTTTTTTTCTTCTACACTACAGTCATAATGAATAGCTTAATATGCGCTTATGATATCCCATGGGTTGGTTACTCGATGGCGGTTGCAACCCTTCAAACTAATGATTTACATTTTCTATGTTCGAATAATTGGGTTAGCTGTACATTTTACTTAAAACTAAAATCACGCAATTAGTCAAGCTAATGAAGTTTCAGTGCAGTGAATAGGAAGTGAGCGAAAAAAATTAATTCGCATTTTCATTCGAATAATGTTAAAATCTAATGCCAATGTGAAACAATACTCGCTTAAAAAGTTGGATATTAATATTTTAACCTGTACTCAGAAAAATGCATTAGAAAATCATACTTAGATTCCCACAACGCTTGAAAATTTTAGTATGAACCGAAAATTCTCTAAATGAAAGCATCTGTTTCGAACTTTTCAACAATCTTACTGATCAGCAGAATTTAATTGCGAATGAGACTTTTTAACCCTTCGACAACTAATGGAATCTTGAATTATTAAAAACTAGCAAATATCCGGCGTGCTTCACTGCGCCTTAGAAGTATTTTTGTGTTGTTACTAATGCTGGATTTCCACTAGGCATGCATTAAATGACAAGAATTGTAATAACAAAGTTGGACATTAAAAAATAATTCGTGCCATTACGTTAAAAAATAGTCATTGAATTCATTTCCACATGGCATTTTTTAAATGCCTTCAATATTCTATAATTTCAATGCCAAGTGGAAATTCGGCATAACTCCCAAAACTCGTATGACCTCATTCATAAAAAAAGAATAGATTTAAAGAGCTTTATGAAGTGAGATTCTCAAACTAATTTTCTATTTACGAAGTATTTTTTATTTTTTACGAATGCGGGTATTAGTAAATATATATTCGGAGGTATTTAGAAAATAGGTAGAATATCGACTTTCTCCTGCAAATTTAATTTATAATCTTATAAATCGAGTCTATGTACATATCGCGCACTTTCTACAAAGGTGTGCTAATTCAATATTTAGCTTATCTTATCAATTTAACTGAATTAAATTTTTCAAATAGGTGGCTACTCGCTTCAAAAATATTTTCGACAGTAAACTTTCTTAAACCTCTTTAGTTTAATACCCGTATTGTAATATTTAATTTTTTTTTATAATTTTAATGGAATCAATTTTTTCAAAGAGGTGGCAATCGCCTGAAAAAATAATTTCGGCAGTAAACTTCCCTAAACCTCTTTATTTAAAGAGTCATATTGCAATATTTGCTTTATCTTATAGATTAAATTAAAAATTTCAAACGGGTGGCAACCTTCCACAAAAATATTTTCGGCTGTAAGCTTTCTTAAACCTCTTCCTTTTGACAGCCATATTGCAATATTTACTTTATCTTATCAATTTACTTTAACTGAAGTTTTCACACAGGTGGCAACTCTCACATTTTTTCTATATTTTAAGCTAGACCTCTAGTAATACATCGGTGAACACTGCATTCAATTCCATGCATTAGTTTTCGAGTGATGCCCATACAGACAGGAGGACAAAAATTTTAAAAATTGTTGATTTGGCTGTTGTTGCTCTAATAAAGACGCCCATTATAATTTTTCTTTAATATCTATGTATAATGTACAATTGTATAGCTGTATCAAACAACTAAAAAATTAAGGTTAAATTTTTGAAAAACAAAAAATATATATCCAGTTTCTTTGTACCCCAAACTGTATGATAAGTTTCTAAATGGCCAAAAATGCATGTCTAGATTTTAAATGCCAAACATTTTTGGAAAATTTTTAGTCACCAAAAATGGACATATTTTCAAATGTCTCAAATTTAATGTTCAGTTTTTGATTAATTTTATATTTATGTGTAGTTTTTTAAGAAAAAAGTGTAGTTTTGAAATAATTATTTCCAAAAATAGTTCAAAGCCTTCTAAGTTAGACCCAAGTCGGCCAAAATCTAGTAATGCAACCTATGGCTTATTTGTAACCTTGTGGCTCTGAATGGGTTAAGCAAGTGTAGGAGAATCCTGTAAGTAGATATAAAGTCCATTTTCTTAATTTCTAACTATTTTTAAATGTTTATAATTATGGTTAAGTATTTTATTTGATTAGATTCTTTAACCCTTACATGATCTTAAGCAGGGATCACACGATTTGTACCTTTGTACATATTTGTACATTTTTACAGCCAAGGAGTGGTGTTTTCTAGAAATTTGCATCAAGAATGAGTTCAGCTCGATAAAAACCACCACTCTGTAATTGTCAAAATGTACAAAAATACAAATAGCGTGATCCCTTCTTTAGATAAAAATTACGTTGAAGTCCTTGCGAGTAGAATTCTACCCACGTGCTTTTTATTCAATTTTTACTAATTTAGTTCAAATGTTTCCGCTATGTTTGGTTTTACAGAAGGATTTGGCGTACAAATTACATATCAAATCACTCTTTTTGTCCTTCACACAGACATCATTATAGCCTGAATAAGCTGTTCAAAAACAACAACCCAAAAAATGCATGGAAAAGCTCTCGATCAAAAGCGACGAGGAAAGCGTAGGTGACGGCGGAACTGCATCAGCGTCTTGTCAAGGAAGTAATAAATATTATAGTTGTATAAAAATGTCATTAATTCTCGTAATCATAGTTGAGTTTCTTGGTATTTTTGTTCAAAATTTTGTTGGATAGAAATGTACTCTAAGGCACAAATTGCCACTTTTTTAAATTACCAAAAGTTAAAAAAAAATACAAAACAAGTAGAGTGAGTAGAATTCTATGCAAAGGTCATATGAGGGTTAAGTAATTTAAAATAAAATAACATAATATTTAGGACCTCGAAATATCTAACTGTAACCCCTAGTAGACAGACTATAATATGGCATTTGAACTTGCAAATTTTCTAATATATGACTTCGTGGCGCTTGAAGGGTTAAATAACAAATATTTACTTTCCTGTACTTCAAAATAGTTAAATGTTTCTCCAAATGGACCATGAAATATGAAATTAGCCCTGTCATATTTTTCTTACTTTGGTGCGCAAAGGGTTAAAAATTGTAAGACTGGACTAGTTTCTCAACCCTGATATATGAAACAAATCTTTGGAATGTTTAAACAACACTTCAATTTATTTAATACCGACCCAGATGCTTCGCCGTACTCAAGCAATTTTTGCACCGAAAAAATTTCACTCTGAGTTCACACAGCTGCTGACATCCTTTCACCAACTCTCTCGCATTGCACATCCGTCTAATCATTTCCTCATTCTTCATTTCGTTCATCTTAAGTAACTTAATTTTATTGAATAAAAAATATAACTCTTACCTGAAAGTTGCGCACTCCCCGCTTCTCCTCACCCTCGCTGCTGCAACTGTACGAGCGTTGATGAACATCTGCCGCGCTAATGATCGCCGTCGAGTCCGGATGCTGGTGTTGTTGTTGCGCAACATAATGTTGCAACTGCTGTTGGTGATGTTGGTGGTGTTGCTCATGCGCCGTCGCCGCCTCTGCCGCCGAAATCGAATTGTTTGCTGAGTAACGGATCGCATCCTCCGTCATATCCGCATCTTCTTCCGTTTTCAGCTGTTCCACGCCATCATCATGGCTATCGTAGCTGCTGCCTCTTCCCAGGCGACTTGAATTCCTGCTAAGCATTGTTATCTCATTATTGTTGTTATTGTTGGTCTGCACGAAAGCATCCGCGCGACTCTGTAGCTCCTTCAGATGCGCTTGCAACATTTCGAAGTTATTGCCCGTCGCCAGCCCAGCCATGAAAGCAGTGCGATGCGCATAGATTTGCTGCTGCGCGGCCACTTCCAAGTCCAAATTGGACGCTTTCAGTTCTTGTGCGCGGGCAGCCGCGGCGACGGCGGCCGCATTGAATTGCGTAGCCAAAGCAGCAGCGGCGGTGGTGGTGGTGGAGGACAGGGGCGATTGGAGTGCCACATCTGCGACCGCTGTTGTGCCCAAAGAGCGGCGTGGATTGCTGGCGCGGCGTTCATACTTAAATTTGCACACTATGGGATCGATTGCATAGGCCGCGGCGCCGCTATAGTCGTTGTCCGCCGGGGACTGCTCCACTTGGGTGCGTTCGATTTTTTCGCACATACTCGCCGGTGACCAGATGAGTGAGTTATGCGAGCGACGCTTCATTGGGGAGCGTGTCTCCAGCTTGTTGAGCAGATCGACAGTTTGCTCGGCGGTATGTGCGGTGGTTTTCAGATTAACTGCGCGCAAAGGTGGCGGCGTGCTGGTAATCTCTATGACAGTGTCGCCACTGCTCTCGTCTCGTTGCTCGGAGCTGAAGCGGTGCAATTTCTTCAGGGAGGATGTCTGTTTGAGTGACAAGTTGAGCGGCATATCGTCGGTGTTGCTGCTATCCAGCGATGGCGGGGCGAGTGCATTTTCCTGATCCTTTTCCGGTGTGAGCGTGTATTCGCGATTGTTGGCAAACGAGGCGGGTGAATTGGGCGTTGTTGGCGTGGTGGGTGTGCCGAGCGCCGATGTTGTGGAGGAGAGTAGAAATTGTGGCCATAGTACGCTGGAGTAGAAGAGCGAATTGTAGGGGAAGGGAAGATCTGTGGGGCGAAATGGTAAGAAAATTTTATGGAATTAAATTGGTATTTGGTGACCTTGAAATATTAACTATAAACTACATATAAAAACTATATCATGCACCGCCCTAATACGTCATAATCTGTTGGGATATTCACAATGGTGTCGTAAACTTTAAAAGGTTAAATAAATATGTAGAAAACTTGTAAGCACAACCAGCAATTTTTTATGACATTTATGGTATCTTCAGAGTCCCTTAAATATATTTTAGCCGTTTAAAGTTTACGACATCAACAATGCCATACTTACGACACCGTTGTGAATACACTATTGGGTGGTTCACAAGGTGTCGTACTTGTCGTATTGTTGTATGTTGTAAAGTTTTTAACGGCTAAATAAATGTTTAGAGGACATGAAATCACCACCAACTATTTTTTAATTGTGTGAAATTTCATAATAAAACTTTTATGTTAGCTTGCGAATTCCTTAAATATAGTTTTAGCCGTTTAAAGTTTATGACATACAACAGTACGACAGTATACAACACCTTGTGAACTCCCTATATATATCTACCCAAACAAATCACTTGATTTTAATCGGAATTCGAAAAAAATTTTAATTCTTTTCCAAAAATATTTTTTTTTTCAAAAATTAGTAGTTCTGTTTTTTCGTTTAAAAAACTCTGTTTATCAAAAACTGTCTTTCTGGTAGTTTTTATTTTTAAAATTTAAAATTTTCCAATTTTTTCTTTGAAAAAAATTTTTTTGTTAATTTATTTTCAAAAATTAATCTTTTTCGAACTGAATCCAGTGTGCACATTTTTTTAAAAATTATCTTGGTTTTAACTTTTTTCAATTAACTGTATTTTTTTTTCAAAATTATATTCCCTTATAGCTTTTCCCAAAATTTAATTAAACTCTTTATTGAATCTCATGTTATTGTCTTCATGCTTGTTTTATTTAGTAATAAATAAGTATGTAGTATCGGCTGTCTTTGTTAAACTTTAATCAGATAGAGTTTATGTATGCCGTGCTAAATAAGAATCTAAAAACCATAATTGGTTTTCTCACAAAAGTTGAGCGATTTTCGATTAGTTCAAAACGTTTCACTATCTTTGAAGTTTTTTCATAATACCGTATTTTCACTGGGCATTAAATGGCAAACATTTTTATGACAAAGTTGGTCATTAAGTTTGTTTTCCCGCAGCATTTTTTAAATGACATTTTTCTTGAACGAATTCTGATTAGACTAACTACTTTATGTATCAGTCTGTGCTTATAAAAATTCACTTACTATTTAATTTCTGCGCGGATGCGATGACAGAATTAAAGGCGGAGGCATGCTGTATCCAATTCTTTGTAGAACCGAGATTTACGTCGAGTGAAGAATTTGTGAATGCAGCCAACGATGGCGACTGTGTCGGCTTTTGCGATTGCGGCGTGAGCGGTGGCGAAAGGTGATTCATTTTGACTGTTTGATATTTAAGCCAAGTATTTTTTTGTTTTGTTGTGTTTTAATGATTTTGATTTAGCGACACGTTGATTTGCACAGCTGCGCAGATTGTTTGCCACGTTGAAATTTAAATTCTTTGATTTAACAAAAATTTTATAGGGTTTAAATTGTAAAAAAAAAAATTAAGAACGTAAAAATGTTTTAAATATATATATTTTTTTTATTTTCCTAAGAGCGCACTTGTTTAAACAATTTGGCGTTTTGCCAAGGAATAATGCGCGAATTATGTGCTTTTCAAAAGTCCTTGATTTATATACAATTTCAACACAGAATATTTTTCAGAAAATTGTCGCCAATGTGTTAATTGCGAATGCATAATTTTCAAAACAATTGCATGGAAGGCACTTTATTTCTTGTTTTTTTTTTTTACTAATCATTCGCGAATCGGCATTTATTTGTTACTCTACTGAAATCCACTTGAGCACACGTCCGTGTTGCACGGTGCTTGGCACCTGACTGAATCTTCGTTCGTTGGCTGCTTACGACCAGAGCCAGAGCCCAATCGCATACTCAGTTGCCAGTCTGTTCAGACTGTTTAGACTGTTTTAAACTCGGCTGAGAGTTGTATTGGTGTTGGTGGTAAGTGTTGGTTGTTAGCTGGTTGGCTCGTTGACGGTGATTGTATGCCAGTTGTTGGTGGGCACACATGTACACTGCTGGCGGTGTGGACGATGGTGGTGGTGGTGGTGGTGGTAGTGGATGTTTTTAGCTGTTTCTGTAGGGATGGCCGTTTGTATGTACATATGTATGTAGTGTGGAGAGAAAAAGGCCAACGGTGCTCTTGGCGCGGTGGTGACCAGGGTTGCCACTGACGAAAAAAAATATTTACCATCCACTTGAAAAAAATCTACCAAATCTGGGAAATATCTACCAATAACTTTTTTATAATTATTTTAATAAAAACTACTTCTTATTTAACTAGTTATACGGTATTTGAGTCATATTATTGTCATATTCTGAGTTTCTTTCACCCAAAAGCGGAAGTGATGAAAATCAAGGCAACAATGAAACTTCATTATTTGAAAAACTTCAACTCGAGTTATTATAGACAAATACAGTGACTCAAAAAAATTATTTTTTTTAATATTCGCAATATTTTTCGAGTAAAAGTTTTTTATTGCTTTAACTAAATCCACAAAAATTGAGGATCAAACCATATACAACATATAGAAAAATTCCAAAATTTTTCGTCTAAATTTCGAATTTTTTACTCTGAATTTTTAGAATAATTTAAGGTATGGAGTTTTAAAACAAATACTATTTGAGTATAGACAACAATGTGCTGCTTAAAATTCCCGTTGATTTTATTTTTTGATAAAAAATGGCGTTGATTTAATTTTTTTTGCGAACAATCATAGTGCGTAATTACATACCAGTAAATTTTTTTATATTTAAATAATCATTTAAAATATTTAGGCAGTCAAAAGCTCCTCCGGATTCCAGTAAAATTAGTTTTGAATGGAGCGCGATATGTTCGCCTTATATCGATATACATTAATACGTATGTAATTATATAAAAGGTATGCAAAGAAATTTATAATATATTTAAAGATAACTACGAAAAATAAAACGGGAACGGGAAGTTAATCAAAAATCTACCAAAATGAGAAAAAATGTACCTTTTTACCAACCCAAATTTTTTCTACCAATTTTGGTAACAATTTACCAAAGTGGCAACCCTGGTGGTGACTTAACTGAAGTGGTTGATTTTCAAGCTTAAAAAATCGTGGAAAAGCAAATTGCAGCACACGACAAAGCAAAACCAAAAAAAAAAAAACAAACGTTATGCACCTATGCATGCAAGCACATACTTAAGTATGCATGTATGTACGTATATTTGTAGCATGCACACTGTATCAAAACGTGGTCCTATAAGGGCTGAATTTTATCCACATATGTTGTTGTTGCTGTTTTTTTTCTTTTGTGTTGCATCGTCATGTTGCTGTTATCTGCCAGCGACTGCGCAGTTAACATTTTCACCTTTTCATCTCATTTGCGCTCTAATTTGGCTCTCGTCTTTTGGCTGCGCGTACTGCCTGCCGCCAGGGTCACATTGCACGCACCACAGTTAGTTGCATATCTGACGCAGTCGCTTGAGTGCCGGCTGTTGCCATTGTTGTTGCATATAGTAAGACTTGTAATCCTTGTTGTTGCTGCTGATTTTATAGCCAGCACACGCTTACTTACTTACAACTATGTCCTACTAATTGGTAAACAGTTTGAACGGCGCGTCGCGTTGCATTTGCTGTTGCTACTACGTTTACCGTTTTGTTGTTGTTGTTGTTGCTACGCTTTATTTTTTGGCTACATTGCTTGTAACAACTGACGTCAATGGTCGTTGCGCGATTTCGTGCATTTAAGTGTTCGTTTGTCGCTTTTAGTTTGGTTAGCAGAGTCAAAGGCGCGCGCAACCCCGCCATCATCGTTCCCCCATTTGCTGTGTTGTTGGTGTTGATTTCCTCGAATTTCAAATGACAAAAACATGAATAAGGATGTATATATGTAATCATGTATGTATGTGCGTTTGAGTAAGTTTGTACATAGCTCCTACATGTTGCTGACTAAGCCACACAATTCAAAGTTGACTCAAATCATTGAATCAATCGCATTTCCCATTTTCATTTTAATGTTGTTGCTTTCATCCCTATTTGGTATTGTAAATGAATTTGTTGCTTTTCCTCATTGACTCCCGGCATTCGCGCATTCACAGCATGTGGTGTAAAAAGTAATTGTAGTGGCAATTTATTCGAATATTTTTAATTTATAATTGCTTCTTAGCGGACATACATACTTAGGTGTGTTGATCCATGCCTTTCTACATACTCGGATATCAATTCTTACATCACCCAAAGTTTGTATGACTCCAGCTTAGTATCAACTTATTTTACGTAGGGAGCAGCTCACGGCCTGCCTCGCGGTCACTGGATCAATCAGATTATCCCTAACAGCGACTTTCGGTGGGATCTGCAACATGGCGCCGATAGATCTAACGAAGTTGGTCCTTACAGTGACTTTCAAAAGAAATCGTAATGATGGAGATGGTACAAACGTTCTTCGAAGATGAATTATAGAGTCCTATCATGAGGTCATGGCGATTTTAGCATATATAGAGAGTCTTTCAAGCATGCTTTGGGTTGCAAATTTTGGGGAGTAACACAGGGGAAATCCAAATCGATGTTAAAATACATTGCAAGAGATACACAGATATATCGATGTTTTGCGAGGTTTTATATATAGACATCCTATACCCTTCCTATAATTATAATAAAAAAAAATTTAAATAAAAAATCAGCGAAAAAACTTGACTTTTTTACAAAAAACTTTTAAAATTGATTTCGGCCTTATACATTCTTGGCATAGATTTTTTATTTTAATTTTGAATAGACTTTTACGTTGGTGGCATGAAGTTTTTGCCTGATAAGACCCCTAGTAAAATTTTCCGAAAAATAATTTTCTCAAATACATATATCTATCCTCTAACGACCTTCCAAATTTGCTTTTTGCGGGGCTTCTTGAAGTAAGGGTCATAAAGACCCTTTCAGGTGGGAGATTAGGTTAGGTTGTCGCGGTCCTCTATAAGACACACTTAGGCTCAGGTCCCATTGTGATGCCGCATGTTGGGTCAGCAACTCTCAATTCCTCCTAAAACCTTTTTAAACTTTGAACGAATTCTAGAAGGTCCTCCAAGTTGTCGAAGCATTGCCTACCGAGAGTGGAGAGTCTTCGTCTAGATAGAGTGGGCACTGACACAACAGGTGCAGAATCGATTCCTCCTCCTCTTCATCTTGAAAACTTATACAGAAGTCATGTAAACGTGGGCCAAGTCGATAGGCGTGCTTACCAATAAGGCAGTGACATGTTATGACAGATACAAATAATCCAATATTGGGTTTATTTAGACTCAGTAGTAGGCCAGTGCATTTGGCGCCAGCTATAATTGTTAGGCAGTTTTACTGGTGATTTCGTCCTGATATGTTAATATAAATATTGAGGTCTGATAGTGGAAACACACGTAAAATATTGCCTAAATACTAGAAACACGAACCAAGAAAACACGAAAACCTACTTATATAAAACCTTGATTTGCACAAAACAAAACACGAATTATCTAAAAGTTTAACTGTAGAAATAAAGTCAATACCTTTATGTACAATATCCATTACATACAATTTTCGTTCACACTGCTTTGCACAATATTTTAATTACACTAAATCAAATTAAGTTTTCAGCGTGCTGATGCTGTACAAATAAAATGAACAATTGATGACACTTTTGTTGCGTTTTTTTCAAAACCACCGTTAGAATGGAAACAAAAAATATATGGCAGCATGAAGTTTCGACAAAAACTTATTGCAAAGCCGATTTTGGTTTAAAATTTTTTAAATATTTTTTTTTTTTAATTCTGGCCTATGGCACAACCACTGTCACAGTCAATTGAATTTGTACTCGCATTATCTGTTCAGCACCAATGACAACTATGAAAATTTACAAACAGCAAAAAAAAGTCAATTATTCTAATGAGCTCCACTGTGACACTATTCTGAAGAGAAGACACCTGCTCCACCTGTGTGACTTGAATAGAGAAAGGGGCGATCATTCAAACATTAAAAGTAACAAAATACGTTTTCAGCCAATGCGTTAGGCTCTGTATAAGCCAACAATTAAAGGCTGTCTTTCTAATGATTACAATGGATAAAAAACTAGACGAATCGAAATTATGCTGGTTGAGCACATTTGAATAATGTGTAACGTATTTTTGGAAGCACAAAAAAAAAATAATAAAATAAGAAAACACCAGCGAAGTGAAACAATTCACAGAGGTGGATGGAAAGGATACATTGCACTTCCGTGACATTTTTGCGCCAGTTTTTCTTCAAACATGTGCAAGCATGTGGCTAAGGAAGTGCTGGTATGTACGAAGGATGGTTGGTCTTAGCACGTTCAGTCTACCCGCTTTTCTTGGCAGTCAAATTGGTGGTCGGAAAGAAAAAGACGAGCGACAGCCCTGCTCGAGATGAGTGTGAATAAAGTGGCCATTTGTATGTGAATATGTATTTTAAGTACATACATACTATGTACATGTGTAGATATACATACATATGAGTAAATGCACCTCTGCGCAACTAACAGAAAAATAATAAAAAATAGGCGGGTGCCAGACACACTTCCTTGGCGCACTTTCCCTGCTGCTACTTGGCATTTTCCCTATATCCGCAGTCCGCATGGAAGATGTTGCGCTAGAGCGATTTTCGTTTTATCACTGGGTCGTCGATGTGAAGTGTGCCTGCAATTACAAATGTTATGTTTATTGCCTTATCGCGCTGGGCAACTACTAGTTGGCGGAAAAAGCGCGCGCTCTGCGCTTAGTTCCACATGAAGGGTCATAGGCTCAAATTCATACACGTATTTACTTTCACATACATATGTATGTGTGTATGTATATATGTACATACATATGTAGGTATCTACGAGTACCTACCAGTGGCGTGACTATGCCATCTGAGGCCCGTGGCTAATTCTTTGGATGGGGCCCTCCCAGTAAAAATCGTCAGGTTGTAATTTAATTTTAATAAACCACTTAAGTAGTTACCCAACACTATTAGCAATAACTAGAGAACCCGCACGGAGTGAAAAAGCCCACGATAGAATTTCAAAAACCTACAAACTATTGCAAATGTTATTCAGGCTTTAAGCTATTTGAGTGTCAT